TGTGTGTGTGTGTGTGTGTGTGTGTGTGTGAGAGAGTGTGTGTGAGTGTGTGTGTGTGTGAGTGTGTGTGGATGTGTGTGTGTGTGTGTGTGTGTTCTCACCTCCTAGCCGGAGAGCCAGATTTGGATCTCCTGACTGATCCAGACCTAAAGAATCAGAAGTTCTCCATCAACACAAACACAGGTCATGCAGCAATAAGAACAGGTCAAGCGCAGCAGCATAACTGTGTCACCTGCTCCTGGGAGCCGAGCCGGATCGGGAGCGGGACCTGGACCTGAACAAAGCACAGAAACAACCAATCTGTTCAACAGCAGCAGTGTCATTTTACTATAATATTGTTTTTATAAATATTTTGAATTAGTTTTAATATTTTCATGTTAATTTTAGTTAAAACATTTTTTTTGTCATTTTATTATTTTTTAATATGTGTATATTGTTTCTTTTTTTGTTATTTTTAGTAAAAGTTCAACTGAGAAATGTTGCCTTGGCAACTAGCTGAAATAAAGAAGTTTTTTGTTTTTTTGAGATTTTATTTTATTTCAGTTAACATTTATTTTATTTCAAGAAATGACTTTTGTATGGTTTTAGTTAACTATAATATCTCTGAACTGCATGCAGTGATTGCGGAAGCAAACACCTGACGGGCATCACATTCATGAGGATGAAGATCATCAGAAGCAGTTTTGTTAAGTATCGGACAAAACTTAAAGTGAGATCATGATTTCATGTGTCTTCACATTCAGAAATGTGTCAGAACACAACTCAAGTACACACGCATTAACATCATTTTTTTTGTCATTTTATTATTTTTTAATATGTGTATATTGTTTCTTTTTTTGTTATTTTTAGTAAAAGTTCAACTGAGAAATGTTGCCTTGGCAACTAGCTGAAATAAAGAAGTTTTTTGTTTTTTTGAGATTTTATTTTATTTCAGTTAACATTTATTTTATTTCAAGAAATGACTTTTGTATGGTTTTAGTTAACTATAATATCTCTGAACTGCATGCAGTGATTGCGGAAGCAAACACCTGACGGGCATCACATTCATGAGGATGAAGATCATCAGAAGCAGTTTTGTTAAGTATCAGACAAAACTTAAAGTGAGATCATGATTTCATGTGTCTTCACATTCAGAAATGTGTCAGAACACAACTCAAGTACACACGCATTAACATTCTCACACACACACACTCTCACACTCACACACACTCACTCTCTTTGAATCGGTCACTCACTTGGAGCGTTTGGGCGTCACAGATCTGGAGCGTCTTGGAGAACCAGAGCGAGAACGACGGGGAGAGTAAGATCTGAACCTGAGTCAAGAATGAGACATACATTTAAGTGAAGGATCACACACACACAAACACACATTCACACACACACACACACATACTCACTCTCTCGCACACACTTGCATCACACACTCGCTCACGCTCTCGCACACACTTGCATCACACACACACTCGCTCACGCTCTCGCACACTTGCATCACGCACACACTCACTCACTCTCTCGCACACACTTGCATCACGCACACACTCACTCACTCTCTCGCACACACTTGCATCACGCACACACTCACTCACTCTCTCGCACACACTTGCATCACGCACACACTCACTCACTCTCTCGCACACACTTGCATCACACACACACTCACTCAAAACTCTCACACACACAAACGCACACACTCACTCACTCTCTCGCACACACTTGCATCACGCACACACTCACTCACTCTCTCGCACACACTTGCTTTA